GGAATTGTCTCAAACACTCATAAAATCCTAGACATTTTTTAATGTGGAATTTTCACCAGTCTTATATAATTTTTTAAATATTCATTATTCATCTGCTACCCTTATATATTACTTTTCTATTGCAGGGTAATAATTACCATGAATTTAGTGGCTTAAAACAACACATTTATTATCTCCCAGTTTCTGTGAGTCAGGAGTCTGGGCGTAGCTTTAGCTGGGTCCTCTGCTCAGATCTCACAAGGCTGCAGTCAGGCTGTGGTCTCAGCACAGGCTCGACTGAGGAAGCATCCACTTCCAGTCTCACTCAGGTCCATGTATTTTAAGCACATAATTTCAGGTGTCCTGCACAGCTTAGCATTAATATGTCTTAACTGTCTTCATCTTTAAATGTATATATCTTTACTGAGTTACCAGTTATTTTCTGTCATGTACAACATTCTTTTAATGTCTTTAGTAAACCATGCTATACATATTGTGTAAAAAACTATGTTTAAACTACAATATTATATAAAACTTTGAAAGTCTTAAAATTTTAAATCTAAATAGACCTTGGTCAGGCACGTCATTAGATAAAATCCAGAATACAATAATAAACTGTATCAAAGAACTGTTCTGACAGAGAATGATTTGGTAAGGTGGGGTCACTGGTGATTTTGACAAGATTGGTTTCAGTGGTGGGGACAAAAATTCACATTGGAGTGGAATAAAGATAACTAGTAGGTGAAAAAATAAAAAACAGAACAACTTTTCAAGTGCACGAATATATGGAGAAAGGAGCCAAAAGGAAAGATGGTAGAAAGAAAAAATAAGGAGGAATATAGAAAAAAATTATATCTTGGTGGTGATGAAATTTTAATTTATTGAGGTCCAAACCAGAAACGGGAGAAAAAAGAAAGTTATGTTGAGGCTTTCTGCACATGGGCAGCTGGTTGGAGCACTGGTTGGGAGTGTGTATTTGCACACTACTGGGGTCACCTCGTTTCTTTTTCTTTTCCCAAATAAACCGTTCTTTTGGCGGATTTTCTGGAGAGTTATTTTTGGCCAGTCGACATTTGGGGGCTCTTGTCCGGGATCCAGAGAGGAATGGAACTCCCTGATGGCTTCTGACTGGTGAGCAAACTCTGGTGCCTAACTGAGCTGCTTCTGCGCGAGTCTTTGCTCTGGCTTAGAAGCCTCAGGTGGGTTGCTCTGCTGGATCTGAACCAACAGGTTTTTGCATCTGGCGCTCTCCAGGGTTTATTTGGGAATTGTTTTAAAACGTTTTGTTTGTTTGTTGGGTGTGTGTGTGTGTGTGTGTGTGTGTGTGTGTGTGTGTGTGTGTGTGTGTGTGTGTGTGTGTGTGTGTGTGAATGTGTGAATGCTTTAAGGCCTGTTTCTTTGTCTGTATTGTCTGAGTACTCCTGGCACTTTGGCTTGAATTCTTCGGAAAGCAGGCTGTCCTTTGAGACAAAAAAACTGGCCTGCGCCTAACACCCCTTTGGGGATAGGAGGTTATTTCTACTGAAATTGGTCAGTTTTAGCCGGCATTAGATCATGCTATCTCATTTTAAAAGTTAACAGAGTGCCACCCAGCTCAGCCGGTAACTGAACTCCCTGAGTGTTGGTTATTTCCTGCAACTGGCTCTAGCCTTCGGTCTGATTTGCAGTGATCAGACTGTTCCAGAGTGAGAGTTGGGCGAGCTGAAGGTTCCCAGTTTGCCTGAGTTGTGAACTGATTTCAGCCCAGTGCCAGTGCAGCCTATAACTTAATTCCCTAAGAGTTAGTTATTTTCCTGGAACTGGCTTTTAGCCTTTGGCCTGGTTCTCAGTGATCAGACTGTTCCAGAGTGAGGTGAGCTGAAGACCTGCAGGTTATTCGAGCAGTGAATTGTTTTGGGCCCAGTGTTAAAAATAGGATCTCTGATTTCTGAGCCTTCTAAAACTGTCCCTCCTCTGGGGACACCTGCCGAGTATATGTTTAAAACCCGCAGGGAATTTTCATGCACGTATTTAACTAAATAGATTTAAGAGTAATTTTAAAAATCAGTGGCCACTTTTGGGGAACTTTTGAGATTCCCAAACTTGATTTTCTTAAAACTAAATTGGATAGCAACAGCGCTGTAACTAAGAAAGAGGAATGGAATGCCTATTTGGAGTGGTATATTGAGGCTGCCAAACAAGACTAAAGTTGTAAATCTAAAGTTGTCTTTTTACAAAATAATGTCTCACAGTTAAAAAAAAAAAGTTATTTTGACAAAATGTTGCCTTTTATTAATTCTGCTTAAAATATAAAAAATAGTATAATTTTTTGCTTAAAATATATTAACCTTTTAATCAAACATTACAAAAATTAAATTTATATATACTATGTGTGCTTGAGGTTTTTTTTTTGTTTTTTTTTACTTGAGTTTTTACTTGAGCTCTTTTTTACTTAAGTATTTCATTCTATGAAATAGGTTAAAATATGGCAATATCAGAATAATAAATTTTTAGAGATGACTCTGAGAATTTCAAGCTGAGTACAGTAGACACATGAGTTGGTGTGTATGCCTTCCAAGCAATATAGTTGATGGTGAAGCCATTTGAGAGATGTTAACAGCTATACATACTTTATAATATACGTTTACTGATCGAGATCAATAAACTTTATGTATGTTCTAAAGAAATAGTTTATTAATTGTATTTGTTGAGTAATTTAGTACATTTATAATTGTGTATATATCATATCAAAAGTTACATATGCTACAGAATCTTAATACAGCTTTTAATATACCAAAGCACTTAAAATATAAGTACTCTAAAAATAACATTGTGTCCATCACAAATATAGCTAAATGTGTTAAAAACGTTCTATTAGTAAGGAGTTGAATTTAGAATCTTAGTTTTACTTTTCATTCACCATTGAGATTTATTATTGTACATTCAGCTGGAGAATAGATTATTTCAATCAAAAGTATTTTCTCCCTCTGAACTCCCATGCATATCTATTATAACAGTTTCTTGTTTCTGCTATAACAAATTACCACACACTTAGTGGCTTAAAACAACAAATATTTATTATCTTACAGTTATGGAAGTGAGAAGTCCAAAAGGGGTCTAATGGATTAAAATCCAGGTGTCAGCAAGGTGGATTTATTTCTGGAGATTCTAAGGGAGAACTGTTTCTTGCCTTTTCCAGCTTCTGGAGGCTGTCTCCTTTCCTTTGCTTGTGGTTGTATCAATCTAACCTTTGCTTCTGTCATCACACCTCCTTCTCTGTCTCTTCTGCCTTCTTCCTCTTATACAAGGACCCTTGTGATTTGGCCCACCACGGTAATCCAGGATAATCTTTCCATCCTGAGATCTTTAACTGAATCACATCTGCAAAGCCCCTTTTGCCATGTAAGTTAACATATTCACAGCTTTGGGACAAGGATGTGGACATCTTCCTACTACATCTTCCTTCTTTTATTTAGAATCATTGAATATCAGAGCTGGAAGAGACATTGGATGATAACTTGTCCAATCCCTTTACTTTATACATGAAGAAGTTGCATGAAGCCAGGGTGGATGTTAGTCTGCCTCTAAGTTTGCCTTTTTTAAGGTTTAGAACAAGGCCTTATTTGTGTTTTTGTATGCTTAACTATACTTAGAACAATACTTGAACATTTTAAGTAAGCAACACTATTTGTGGCCTGAATGAATAAAAAGTTAGTGATAGAAACCAGATATACTTGGTCCCTGAAGCACTCATTTTAAGTTAGTGCTAATGGAAATTTGTGAAGTGCTACTGACCAAAAATATCATGACGGGTAGAGATTCAGTTATTGTTATATTTTGTAGTTAAAAGGAGGAAATCATTCAGTGTTAAACACAACTGCCTTTTTTAAGTTGCCCATCTCTATCCACCCTCTTTCTCCATGAAAAATGAAAAGAAGGAAAGAAAGAAGAGAAAGAATGAAAGAAAAAGGAAGGAAAGAAAGCATGGATGGAAAGAAAAGAAGATATAGTGGCGTTCATTTAATTGTTTTTCTAACGTAACGCATGGAATCCAGATTTAGATTCTTTGACACTCATTGCTATTTGACTGTTGATAAGATAAACCTATATTTTCTGTGATACATATAGTTCATATATGTTCAGTAGTTAAGATAATTTAAAAATCAATATTTTTTTAAAAACTACTTTATAACTTTAGGAAAATTTTTAGAAACTTGGATTTACTTTTGACTTATGATTTTCTTTCCCTTGTTAAGGAAGGACATTGGACTCTTGATTAAAATAAAATAAAAAATTAAAAACAATTATTTAGTATTTCTTATTGAAAAACACTAAAAATCTAGATGTTAGGTTTAGATCATCATCCAGATTAGATAAATCACTATTTTCAAGAAAGAAAACTTTATTTGATGCCTACTTAATGACTGATTTTCTTTTGTTAATACTCTTGTAATTTATATAGAATCTGATTGTTATATGAGTTAGGATGTATTATACATGGTCCTTGAAATAAAATATACTGGAAGCATAATGTTAGACTCTTTTCCTACTTGTATTAGCATGGTCTTCCAGTAGATATATATATTTATACATGTCTAATTCTAAACTTGTGTGTTGTACAAGTTTCTGTAAATACTAAGACTGCATACATCTATTTTTATCTTGCATACTAACATGGTACATGTAAAGTGCTTAGCAGCTGTAAAAATGCACCTTGGTAAAAGTGCCCAATAACTGGTAATGGTTATGTCATCATATTGTCATTCTCTCAGTGAGTAAGGTGTTAATTTTAAGTCAACTTTATTTTTATTCTATTAAAAAATTAAAACAACTTTTTTCAATACAGTTAACATACAATATTATGTTAGTTCCAGGTGTACAACATGGTGATTAGATGTGTGTATAACTCACGAAATGATCATCCTGATAAATCTAGTACCTATCTGACACTATACATAGATAAGTCAACTTTAGAATGTATTCATTATAATCAAGTATATTCATTGGGTGGAAACCTAATATGACTTTTCTTTTCCTGGCAGCAACTTGAATTGGTGGAACCAAGTGGCTGGATTCATGTTCCCTTAACTGATAATCATAAGAAGCCAACTCGCACATTCATGATACAGATTGCTGTTCTAGCCAATCACCAAAATGGAAGAGACACCCACATGAGACAAATTAAAATATATACACCAGTGGAAGAGAGCTCCATTGGTAAATTTCCTAGATGTACAACTATTGATTTCATGATGTATCGTTCCATAAGATGACTGAAAACAGAACAAAAGTCATTAAACATACTTTTTCTCTTGTCAGTAAATATTATATCTGGTATCTTTATTGAAAAAACATCCGTTATTTTATAATTTTTGTATGCATTGAAAGGTGTTTTATTGTAGCTTTAATAAATAAATTTTGGGTCATACTATCTTTATTTTCTTTAACATATAATAAACCTCACATATTTTACACTATTAAAAATGGATTTGAAGCAATCATTAAAAATTTCCTTATACCAAAAGAAACCAGTTGAACTGAAAATTTTAAGATATATGTAATTTTTTATTTCATATAGTTATTATTTCATATAGTGATCATGCATTAGAGTAATGATTTACTACATGTTTGGGAACAGACCTATTTTATCAATAGATATCTTTAATAGGCCAAAATCCTTCTTTTTTTTTTTTTCCTATACAGATGAAGTTTATTCATTTAATATTGGTCCTTTTTAAAAACAGTGTCAAAAGCTTAGCACTAGGTGTCTCATGAGAACAACTCTGATTTGGGGGATATAGTTAATTGTGTCATAATTACCTCAATGAAATACTTTTAACCCTAGCATTGTCTAGATCCTGATGTCATGGCAGAGACTGCCAGTATAATCTGCTGTTTATTCTAATGCTAGTGCTGCTATAGAAGAATTAGTTTCAAATTTGTGTCCAACACTGAATCATTCCTGAGGGATAATATATCTCATGAAAATTTTTTGAATGTATGAAATTACTCTTTATATAGAAAAAGATATTAAAGGGGCTTAAATATGTTCTCTTTCCATGGTTTAAAATGAGTAGACTTAGTTCTGTATACTTTTTTTTCTATACCGATTACTTTTTGGGATGATGATTATTTAGCCACAAAACTTCACCAGATTGGCTCTTGTTTGGGAAAAGAAAGATTCCTTGGTGGTTCTTGCATTACTGAATAGACTGAAGTCTTAAATAGTAAAGTCTAAAAAATAATTTTCTTTGCTTTATTATAGCAGAGTACTAATTTACATGGATACTATAAAAAAGTTTTCACTTTTTCACTCAGCAGAATCTCTGCTGTTCTTTCCACGAGTTTCACAAAGAGTTTTGTCTTGTGCATTTTGTTGCCTTTGGAGAAGTGTGGTAGGTCACCAAATAGTCTGCTACCAGAGTCTATTGGGGTCAGCAATGAATCCCGGTATAGATGTGGGATACTGGGAAGGGGAGAAGAGATGATTAGAGGAAAACCCATGGATAGGAATTAAAAGCCAAGGGGAGAACTAAGGAAATTAGAATAGCAGTATACACTAGGCACTATACTAGATGTTTTGCCTTATTTAGTCTGATAAGGAAAACATTCATGTGAACAACAGAGTCTTCGTTTAAGAGACAGACAGAGAAATCTAGTAAAAATATAGGAGATTTTATTAGTAATAATATTACTACTTGCTGTTTTTTAAAAATTTGCTTAAAAGAAAAAGGAGGAGGACTAATTATCATTTATATGACCCAGTCTGTTATCTCCTACTACTAATAGTTTTGCTAAGAGAATCCTAAAATTAGGAGGGATTAAGAAGAATGTTGAGAAAATCAGTATGCTTTCTACTTCTACTTCCTTTCTTTATTTTTCGTATGCTAGCTGGCTGACCACCTTATTAGACGTGTGAATACTTGATACCTGAGGTTGATGGAGATAATGCTTCCCTGTATTATAAGGATTATTTAACGTACCGATAGATGATGTGTTATATTACAGCATAATTATCTAAAGTAGTTGCATTTCTTTTTTAAAAGTACAAATACTGACAAAGGATTTGTATCTAGAATAAAGAACTCTTACAACTCAATAGTAAGAAGACAGTCCAATTAAAAGTGAGCAAGAGATTGAACAGTGACTTTATTAAAGAAGACATATGATTTGTAAATAAGCATATGAAAAGATGCTGAACTGCATTGGACATTAGTGAAATGCAAATTAAAACCATAATGAGGTACTATTTTGCAGCCACTAAAATGGCTACAATTAAATAGATGATTGCAGGCGTTAGCAAAGATGAAGGAACTGGTCCTCATGGTGCTGGTAACAATGTAATTAATGTGCAACCACTTTGGAAAAACGGTTTGATAATTTTTAAAAAATTAAACGTGTACCTAATTATGTGACCCAGCCATTGTACTCCTAGGTATTTACCCAAGAGAAAAGATAGCGTATGTTCATAGCAGCTTTAATTTATAATATCTCCAAATTGAAAACAACCCAAATGTTGTGGTATATCCATATTGTGGTATATCCATAGTAGAATATAGTAGAATATATATTCTACTATATAGTGGAATACAACTCAGCAATAAAAATGAATGAGCAATTAATGCTTACAACCTCATGGATAAATTTATTTCTTATTGTATAGGATCTGAGAATCAAAAACAGATTGAAAAGCCATTTTAACAGTTAATAAAACGACAGCAAATTCACAGGTTCACTTGTGATGAGTATACATTTTTGAGTATTAGACAAACTGTACAGTTACAAGATTTACATTTTTAAGTTTCACATGTAATTGAAGTATGAGACACTTTTAAAATCAGTTTATTAGCTGAGGAAGTATTGTCACAAACTGTATAAAACTGGAATTTTAAAACGCAGCAGTTTGTTGAACACTAATAAATATATAGCTCTAAAAAAACTAGTAGATACTGGGCGTTAAATTAGATGTAATAAGGAAACCAAGATACATTTGATGCAAACTTTGGTTTCCAGTTGCTTATGGTCTACTAGGGGAAATAATAATTCTGTAAACAACCAAGTCAAAAACGAGGTAAGGTCTCCCTGATGGGTGGCAGTGCAGAGAAGACAGAGCTGACTTCCCGTCCAGGAAGATCGAGGTGAAGCTAAGTGTGACATTGTAGAGGAGGTGGAATTTTGGAAAGAAAAACTATTTGTGATAGCTAGTTATTCACTTTTCAAGCCTATTGAGTCCAGATTGTCATTGTTTTTATGAGTAACAACAATTAATTTGAAACAGATGATTTGTGTGTTCGGAATCAAGTGATGTTTTGCACATTTACTCTTGTTTGAAAGGTTCCAACAATTAAAACAGGCAAATCTTGAAAAAAATTTTAGACACCATGCCTTCTGTTCTTTTAGCCATGATGACTACTAATGAAGTACAGATTAATACACTACAGTGTAAATTTTTGAGTATAAAATTGTGTGACTCAAATACAAATATTTGATATGTTTCTAGTGTTTTAGAAAATTGTTATTGCTCTAAAATTCTTAATAAGATGTTGGCTTATGTATTATTTTTTATTGGATTCTTGGTTATTAGTTTATCAATTACCTTTTTAAAATGATAAGAGATTTGCAAAATATGTTACATTAAAGCAGTAGGGAAAATAATACTTTGTAGTTGTGATTCTGTGTGGACACTTCGGCTTGGTGGTTATTTACATCGAGATTATCTTCTTTTGTCCACATTGTTCTGGCATTCCTTACTTCTATGACCCCGTAGAGTGTGGCGTTTGGAAATTTTTGCTGTGCAAGGCTGTTTATCTCTGTGTGCCTTATGGTTTGCCATTTAGTTGGACCTGTTTCTGTGCAGTGGTGTCCAGAAAGCCTTAGAGAGAGGAATATGATGAAGAAATCCTTGAGGATTAGTTTATTAATTAGCCATGATAATGATTTATTATATCAACAGTACAAACCTGAAGGCTAATTAATTAGAACCCTCCCACTATAAATCTAAGAAAATATCTATAATCAATGGCAGTTTTATATGGAAAGTTAAAATTAGTTTTTAGTACTATTAATCTATTTTTCAGTTTTATTTAAAAGTATCCCTTGATTCCCACCACCATTGTTCATCTTTTGTCCTTTTTGGTGAATAGAACCAACTTGCTATTTTGCAAACATAAGCAAAATTACAAGTGGACCAATTTAGGGGAGTTCTACCTGCTTATGAAACCTTTTTCTGAGTGAATGTCTATTTCAGGAAATGGTATTTCACATCTTGTATAACTTAAGCATCGCAGTCATTTTTTTTTAAATTTTTTTTATACTTTGCCCCTCCATCGCAGTCATTTTAATTGCTGCGTTTGTGGCCATCAGCTTTCCACTGATGCAGTTCAATGATCATCATAAGATGTTCTTCTATTAGGCATTTGCTTTTCTGATGTTGAGAGCAAATTACGCTTCTCCCCCTGTGGTCCTGGAAATAACTCCCCAAACTGTTTTTATAGACTTTCTTCTAAGACTAGCTCTCCTCTTTACCCTGGCATTCATCTATAGCTGGACATCCAGATTTTAACAGATCATTTCCTGTTATTACTACAGCAGTATCAAAATACCGATCACTTACCAAGAAGCCAAGTATCCAAAAGACTGAAGCAGAAAGTTCAGCCAGCTGTTTGTTTTCAACTGTGAAAATTTATAAGAATCACATGTTAAATGGATATGGAGACAAAATGAATTTGAGGGTAGCCTCAGTTTAAAAGGAGAAAACAACCCATTTCACTATTGTTATAACATATTAATACTCAGGTGCTTACCAAAGACAAAGCAAAGGAATTTTCCTATTTATTTTAAAATAGTGCTTATTTTTTAAGGTAGCATTCAGTAACTAATAGGAGATGCAAAGAACTTATTCTTCAGAAGTTTTCTGTCATTTTTCTGTTAAGTCACCCAGTCTATTTAGAAATTATCAGTTGTTTGGTGTCATTTTCTATAATTTGGTGTAATTTTGACTCTTATCCTTCATCTTTTCATCCTCAGTAACCCGTCTCCACATTAATTATCACTTGTAGTTTCACCCCATTCACATCGTTCTAGGCCAGTTGCAGGAAGCTCCCAGATGGACCATTGGTCTTTATACTAAAATGAAAGTAGCCAAACTGTTTCATCATGTGGCTTTCTGTAAATATCTACACTAATTCCATGTTACCTATATAAATTTATCTGTATAAATGACCCTGAAGTCCTTTGACATCCCGTCAAGGCCATACCTCTTCCCTACCTCTTTTATTACTTTTTTTTCATTATTCTCAGACTTTCTGCTCTAGCCAAGCAAATATTGCTTCTCTGTTTTATGCACCCTCATTTTTACCCTTTTATAGGTAACATCTAATGACCTTTAATCTTGTCACTATTTTACCAACGAAGACCAATGTCCTGAACAGAAACTAGCTCAAAAGTCACTCCCTCCAATGCTTTTAATCCTCTATAT